AGGGTAAAAACAAAAAAAATCGCATTTTCTTTATTATTACTATTATAAGTTATCTGGTTTTAAACTAACTATATCGATATATAACAATTTTTTTTTTTATGGATAGTAATGCAGGAAATATGTTATTCCGTATACCAGTATTTACCAAATTGATATTATACTCAACAAATATAGTCAAAAAGTTACAAATAGTTGGAATAGGTTATAGAGGTTACTGGTTCTCAACAGGATCACCTTCCGAAAAAGGACTTCAAATTGATGCTTTGTCAATTTATAAGTTTGTTCGCGTACTTTATCCAAAGAATCCAATATATATTTATGGACATTCATTAGGAGGAGCAGTTGCGCTATATCTAGCATCAAACGAAAAGATCCAGAAAGATTTGAAAGGAATTATAATCGAAAATGCGTTTACATCCATCAAAGATATGGTTACCACAATATATCCACAGAAATGGCTTCCTTATAAATATTTAGTAAATATTCCACTCTTAATCCGCAACAAATGGGATAATTCTCATGTGATTCAAGAGATCAAAATACCTATTTTATTCTTGTCATCGCGAAATGATGAGATAGTACCACAAGAACAAATGTTAGAATTATATAAAAAAGCTAAAATGAGTAAAAAGAAGGTCTGGGTAGAATTCGAGAATGCATTACATGAAGATGTTTATTCTCATAAAGGGTTTGTAGAAGCAATTAAAGTTTTTATCAATGAAACAATAGCAGATCAAGATGATTAATGTAATATACAGTATAAACAATTCAATTTTTAATATATATCATGTGATAAATTTTATTATCTGTTATGTTTCACTAGTTTTAATGCTACTATTTAAATGTAGTTGATATTGTACATTTAGAATACCAAATATGTATGGATGGATAGACACAGATCTTAATCGTACAGTCAATACTGCGCCACTGCACATGGTAATAACAAGTCCAGTAATTTCTGATATCTATGTTGATAGACATTTATCACAAATTTTAATTAAAATTGAGTATATTTTGCTATCACTTTAATTACTTGTAATAATTGCTTGCAAAAACAATTATCCAGGTCTTATTAATAAATTAAGTTCTCTCCTACTAGGAGCTGATTAAAAAACATAATATATACTGTATTTATATACATCATTTAAAAATTATGTACTGTATTTGCAATTTTTAATGATAGCTGTGGAATATTATCTCTTTACGTACGTATATACCTAAGTAACACTTTTAATTTTGTATATTCTTGAATATAGTATAGCGATAGGTAAGAAAAAATAACTGTTTAAAAAGGTTTACCGGTTTTTTTTTTAGAAAAAAAAAAATTCTGTAAATATATATTGTAATGGAGATATTATAATGCTGTGAAATATTTATTTTCTTTCTTTAAGTACATACCTATGTGCTTATCTGTTATGTAACACTTCTAATTTTGTATATTCTTGAATATACTACAGGTAAGGAAAAATAACTGTTTTACCAGTTTTTTTTTTTTTTTTCTTGAATATACTACAGGTAAGGAAAAATAACTGTTTTACCAGTTTTTTTTTTTTTAGAAAAAAAAAAAAATTTTGAAAATATATATTGGTATGAATATATATATATTAAGATAAAAAGGTGATAATCTATTGTAATACAAATACCTTCTTTTCTTTTTTTAAAATGCAAACTAAACCAAAAGTTGGAAACCATTAAAAAAGGACCGACCGATTGGTTTTCCGGAATTATTATCATTATTATCAGATAACCATGGTGAAACTTTGAAAATAGTATTACATCCGATGCACCAAGAAGCGTATATGCGTGCTTTGGCATGTATAGTACGTACTTGCGTATGCTTTACGCAAATTTTATCGGGAAGCAATTAGTACAAAAGTGACATTTTATGTAGAAAATATTAATTTTGAGCTTACCAAAAAAAGACTTTAAATATCTGATTTGACGGTAGTTTTATCTAAATCTGTATCCATGAGTTACAAAAAGCACATTCATTCTGGGTGTGGTGGTTTTTTGTTTACCAGTAATTTTCCCCTAATTTAAGCTGTGTTTTGTACGTAGTATATCGGTATTCGGTATTACGTTCTATAGAATAATAATTTAAAGTATATATATCTTTTTTATATATTTTATATATATTACAATTTACATTTGAATTCCCTAAAGCAAAAAATTGGTGTTTGAAACTTATTTATACGTATATATATATATAATTTTTGGTTGTGCATCACCGACCTATCAGAATAACAATGACGTATACTTTGTTAATTAGCCAATGGGCTGTCGTTTAGTATTTATATATTTAAAGAGATAGTTGCTTACAACCTATTCGTCATTTTTTCGATTTTCCCAATTTACTAAAAATTCTCTTGACTATGGATCCTTTTTTTTCTAATGCTGTTTTTTCGATGAGTGATTCTAATTTTCCTTGGGATTTTACTTCTCTTGAGGATAATGTTGAAGCTCAGAAACTTTTAGCAGCTGCTATAGCGCACAACGATCAGTACAGATTCGACGAGGACCAGAAACGAAAATTGGAAATGCTAGAGGACGCTGCTCAACAAACTCCTTCTAAAGCTAGTCGTAAGTATCATGATTGATTTTATTATTTCTCATTTATTAATATTCGTTTGACTTTTTTTCATTTTATTTTTTTTAATAAAAATTTATCCTTTTTTTTTTTTCTAGATAAATTAAATATTACTTCCGTTCCACATCCAGATCTTGATGCTGAATGTAAGTAGCTATTCTAAACAAAGTATCATTTAGATTTTATTTCAAAATAATATTCTTATATACATTATTAAAAAAAAAACAGCGGAAGGTTCTTCGTCTCCGCCAGATAATTCACCAGAGCAATCTAATGAACCACAGAAAAAAAAGCCAGGTAGAAAGCCCTTAACAAATACGCCTAGCAATGTATGTATATTTCATTATATTAATTTTAGTATTAAAATTTAAAATTCACCTATTTTTATTTATCAGAAACGTAAAGCTCAAAATCGAGCTGCTCAGCGCGCATTCCGAGAACGTAAGGAACGTTATGTAAAAGAACTTGAAACTAAAATTGAAGAGCTAGAATCTCTGTCTGCAAAAAGTGCTCAAGAAAATCAACAATTAAAGACTCTTGTTGAACAATTACAAGCTGAAAATTATTTATTGAAACAAACGAGTTTTACTTTCGATTTTCCTTTACCAAAAACGAATGATACTACTTCTATTCTTGATAAGGATATCAATGATCTAGTGGGGGCAAAATCTATATCCCCACCTCCTCTTCCTGCTTCTAATACTAGTGATCCTTATACACCTCCATCTTCAAATACAAGTGATGATGAACCAGGTTCTCCTAATTCTGTTTCAGATAAAAACGTTAATGTGACTGTTTCATCACCTGACATTTCGTTTCAAGCACCATCATCTAAACTCGATCAGCCGAATTTACCGTCTAAATCATCTGGTTCCACTTCTTCTTCATCTTCTCATTCAACTAAACCTCAGAATGCTGAAGAATTCTGTGAAAAATTCACCGATGGTATGTGTCAAGAAAATAATACATCCTTTGATATGACAGGTTCCTCGAACGGTGCTACCGATTTAAACAGGTTATCATCCGCGTTCACGGAATATCGAGATCCAACTCCTTTCACTCCAAACATAGACAATCCTTTTTCTGAGTCCGCTCCATTACCGCCTCTCTTTGAAGATAATTTTCAAGATTTTGGCAGTTTTGCTCCAATGGCTACTCCAACTGATGAAAATAAAAATCCTATTCATTTCTCAAGTTCAAGTAAGCACGAATTTGCATCTTTGGAAGACATTCGAAGTAAAAAGTTTTTGTCGTGTAATAAAGTATGGGAAAGAATTCAACAACATCCGAAATTTGATGACCTTGAAGGTGACGAAATCGATCAATTATGCGCTGAACTTAAATCTAAAGCAAAATGTTCCGGAAAAGGTCCGGTTGTACCTGAAGAAGATGTAGAAGCTGTTTTAATCAAATTAGAGGAAAAATAATTCTAATCTTCTTTAGTCTTAATCATGTTTCAGATCCTATATCTTTCATTTATCTGCATTAGTTTAGATAGCTGATCTAACAAAAATATTAATTTTTGATCATATCACTCACAAATATGAGATATAACGTGGTATTGATGCCTAGTTTTCTCATTTTATAATTGACAATGTATAATACTTTTATATTTTGCGAAAGACTCCATTAGGGCATATAAAATTTGCAAATTGGTTCTATAAAAAATAGATCCGGCTACCCGATTTCTATTTTATTTTTAGTAAATATACTTTAATGTTTTTTTTTCCTGGGGTTTAGCAAAATCTGACCAGCCGAGTTATGAGAACCAATAAATTTTATATGCCTCCTTTTTTTTAAAGATAATTTTAAGTAATTATTCATTTTTTATATAGCTTAAAATTGACAGCAAGACTGTTGTAGGTTATAATTCTTTATGTATATAGTTTTTTTTCTTTATTAAAAAAAAAAAAAAAAAAAAAAAAAAAAAAAAAAAAAAAACAAAAAAAATTATCCCCGCATAAGACCTATAGCTGATATTAAAGTAGAGATTGGTTTTAACATGTAACTTTTTCTACCTGCAGATTTTTTACAAGTTGTATGAAAAATAAAGTTATTGAATAAATATTTTGCCAAAAAAAAAAAAAGTTTATTAAAATGATTTAAGTATGTTACTGTGGTCATTCTTATATCGTAAATTATACTGATTTTACAAGAATAACCATTATTTATGGGTTTTTATACAGTATGTGTTAATACTCTTATTTATTTATTCAAAATAGAGTTAAGCACATAATCATGTGATTACCAATGCTTTACTAAACAACTGATGTCTATCGTAATAGTATTAGGGAAAAAAAAAAGAAAAACCAAACTATATGATGTTCTTGCTAAGTTTAGACGGAACACAAAATTATATAATACGTTCCATATATATATTTATATATAGCTAGCAAGATTACAAAACACCATTTTATAGTTTGGTTGGCATGTGGAAATTTTCCAAATGTGTATTTGTGATTTTAATCTTTCTATTTGTCTGTTTTCTTTTTTTCTGTTTAGGTTTATCCTATATAAATTTGAAAATTTTAAAAGTCATTGTTCACACTGTCAAGCTTAAGTATATTAATTGACTTACCTCCGTTCTAGTCTTATTTTCCAACACAGACATTGTTTGTAACCCAGCTATTAAAATTTAAGTAGTAAAGATCAAACTATCAACAATAGAGAACTGTAATATATGAACAGAAATAAAAATATATAAACAAACCATCTTCAAGTGATTTCTTCAAATCGCTTTCATCAGGTACTTTGACGCTGTGAAACATATCAACAAACTCTATAATTAGCATTTAGCATAAATATTCATCAAAGAATTAGGTAACAATTAGTGAATTAGACAAATATCAAATGTTTCAGGTCTTTACAAACCTTTGTCCATTTCAGTAATATACCGTTGATCGTTCCAATATAATAGTCGTGGTGAGTTATCCTTCATAAGGCGTATCACCATAATCTTACCTTCCTTTTCTAATTCCTAATGTCGCATATTCATTTAGAATACAATTTTTTCTTTTATTATTGCTATTTTTTTTTAAATCATCACTGTAAAACCAACCCCAATGGCATTTGTTAGATCAATACAATCATCCAACTCTTTAAATGGCATTCCTCGAGACACACCAGGTTGATCCCTTCTATCTTTTAGCAAGTTTAACAAATCTTCTTTTGAACGAATAGCATAATCCGGCTAGATATTATTATAAATCAATTGTTTGAATTAGTTATTGAAACAAATAATAAGTATCTT